TTTGACACATTTGTCTTTTTTTTTTAAAGATTTATTTCTTTATTTATGATAGACAGAGACAGAGAGAGAGAGAGAGAGGCAGAGACACAGGCAGAGAGAGAAGCAGGCTCCATGCCAGGAGCCCAACGTGGGACTCGATCCCAGGACTCCGGGATCGCACCCTGGGCCAAAGGCAGGTGCTAAACCGCTGAGCCACCCAGGGATCCCCTAAATAAGATATTTTTAAAAAATATTACTCAGTCATCAAAAAGAACAATATCTTACCATTTGCAATGATGTGGATGGGGCTAAAATGTCCTATGCTGAGCTAACATGTCCTATGCTAAGCTAAATAAGTCAGAGAAAGACAAATACCATAGGATTTCTCTCATACGTGGAATTTAAGAAACAATAGACGAATGTAGGGGGAGGGGGAAAAAAGAGAGGGAAGCAAACCATAAGACATTCTTTTTTTTTTTTAAGGTTTTATTTATTCATAGGGATGCAGAGACACAGGCAGAGGGAGAAGCAGGCTCCATGCAGAGAGCCTGATGTGGGACTCGATCCAGGGTCTCCAGATCACGCCCTAGGCTGCAGGTGGCGCTAAACCGCTGAGCCACCAGGGCTGCCCACCATAAGATGTTCTTAATGACAGAGAACAAATTGCAGGTTGGGGGAAAGTGGGTGGGTGGTGGGCTAAATGGGTGATGGGCATTAAGTAGGGCACTTGTTGTAATGAGCAGTGGGTGTTATATGTAAGTGATGAATCATTAAATTCTACACCTGAAACCAATTTTACCATATGTGTTAGCTAACTAGAATTTAAATAAAAACTTGAAATAAAAAAATAAGACCAAAATCATACTAAGTTTCTTTCCCCACCACAGTGGATAAAACATGAAATCAGTTAACAGGAGGAAAGCTGGAAAATACACAAATATACGGAGGTTAAACAACATGTTCCTGAACAACCAACAAGTCGAAAAATCAAATAGGAAATCAAGAAATATCTTGAAACAAAAGACTTCTAACTCTGGGAAATGAACTAGGGGTGGTGGAAGGGGAGGAGAGCGGGGGGTGGGGGTGAATGGGTGACGGGCACGGAGGGGGACACTTGACGGGATGAGCACTGGGTGTTATTCTGTATGTTGGTAAATTGAACACCAATAAAAATTAATTTATAAAAAAAATAAAAAAAACAAGTAAAAATAGAAGCAAAACGTTTCAAAATTTATGAGATCCTACAAAAGCAGTTCTAAGAAAGAATTTTATAGCAATTAATGTCATGTTAAAAAATAAGAAAGATTCCAAATGCACAAACTCACTTCACAACTCAAGGAGCTAGAAAAGGAAGAACAAAATAAATCCAAAGTTAGCAGAAGGAAGGAAATGACAAAGATCAAAGCAGAAATAAGTGAAATGCAGACCAGGAAATCAATAGAAAAGATTAATGAAGGGCAGCCCGGGTGGCCCAGCGGTTTAGCATCGTCTTCCGTCCAGGGCCTGATCCTGGAAACCCGGGACTGAGTCCCACATCAGGCTCCCTGCATGGAGCCTGCTTCTCCCTCTGCCTGTGTCTCTCTCTTTCTCTCTCTCTCTCTTTCTCTCATGAATAAATAAATAAAATGTTTTTACAAAAGATCAATGAAACTAAACACTGGATCTTTAAAAAATAAAATTGAGGGATCCCTGGGTGGCGCAGCGGTTTGGCGCCTGCCTTTGGCCCAGGGCGCGATCCTGGAGACCCGGGATCGAATCCCACATCGGGCTCCTGGTGCATGGAGCCTGCTTCTCCCTCTGCCTATGTCTCTGCCTCTCTCTCTCTCTCTCTCTCTCTCTCTCTCTGTGACTATCATAAATAAATTTAAAAAATTTTTTTAAAAATAAAAATAAAAAAAAATAAAAAATAAAATTGACAACCTCTAGCTAAACTAATTCAGAAAAAGAGAGAGAACTTAAAATCGGAATGAAAGAGGATATATTACAACTGACACCACAGGAATACAAAAGATCAAGACAAGTTCTATGAAAAACCATACACTAACAAACTGGAGAACCCAGATGAAAAGGATAAACTCCTAGAAACATGCAATCTACCAGGACTGAATTATGAAGAAATAGAACATGTGAACAGATCAAAAACAAGTAAGGAGGTTGAATCAGTAATTTAAAAAAATTCCCCAGGACCAGATGGTTTTGCTGATGAATTCTAACAAACATTTAAAGAATAATTAACTCCAATCCTTCTAAAACTGTTCAAAAAAATTGAAGAGGAAGCAGCATTCTCAATTTAATGTTATAAAGCCAGCATTATCTTGTTAACAAAACCAGATGAGGAAACTACTCAATTCAATAAAACTGCAGGACAGAAAGTGAACACACAGAAAACAAATGTGCTTCTATACACTAACAATAAAACAGCTGAAAAATAAATAATAAAGAAAACAGTCCCATTTACAATAACATCAAAAACAATGAAAAACTTGAAAATAAATTTAACCCAGGAGGTGAAAGATCCGTATACTGAAAACTATAAAATTTTGATGAAAGAAATTGAAGAAAACATGAACAAATCGAAAGACAGCCCATGTTCATAGACTGGAAGAATTAATACTGTTAAAATATCCATATTACCCAAAGCCATCTATAGATTCAACGCAATCTCTATCAAAATTCCAGTGGCATTTTCACAAAAATAGAAAAAATAATTCTAAAATGTGAAGCCACAAAAGACCCAAAGAGCCATAGCAATCCTGAGAATGAACAATAAAGCCAGGGGCATCATGCATTTCCATCTCAAACTATGTTAAAAACGACAGTAATCGAAATGGTATGGCATTGGCATGAAAACAGACACACAGACAACAGAACAGAATTGAAAGCCCAGAGGGGTGCCTGGTGGGTGGCTCTTTCAGTTAAGCATCTGCCTTCAGCTCAGGTCATGATTTCAGGGTTCTGGTGATCGAGTCCACACTGGGCTCCCTGCTCAGTGGGGAGTCTGCTTCTCCCTCTCCCTTTGCCCCTCCCCACTGCTCATGTGCTCTCTCTCTCTCTCTCTCTCATAAATACATACATACATACATACATATATACATACATAAATACATAAATCTTGAAAAAATAAAGCTCAGGAATATATCCTCATATATATGATCAACTAATATTTGACAAGGGAGCCAAGAATATACAATGGGGAAAAGATAGTCTCTTCAATAAATGATGCTGGGGCAGCCCTGGAGGCTCAGCGGTTTAGTGCCGCCTTCAGCCTGGGTCCTGATCCTGGAGACCAGGGATCGAGTCCCACGTGATAAATTGACACTAGAAATATCAACTATTCCCAAATCCATCTAAATTAATCTGTTCTGGGCAGCCCAGGTGGCTCAGCGGTTTAACGCCACCTGCAGCCCAGGGCCTGATCCTGGAGACCCAGGATTGAGTTCCCCGTCGGGCTCCCTGCAGGGAGCCTGCTTCTCCCTCTGCCTGTGTCTCTGCCTCTCTCTCTCCCTCTCTCTCTCTGTCTCTCATGAATAAATAAAATCTTAAAAGAAAAAAAATCTTTGTTCTGCAACATGAGAGGATTGATTTAAAGTTTATCCAAAAGAATACATTCTTGAATTGAAATCAAGCAAGAAAATTTAGAAAAATAAGAATTATGAGCAGGATCTTTCTCACTAGGTATTATAACGTGGGTATATATTTATGACTAATTGTCTAGTTTTAGTATAGAGATGGTCAGTGTGATGGAGAACATATAAATAGACTCAAAGATAGTTTAAGATATTATAGTGATGACTTACTGAATTATGGAGAAAGAACGGATTTTTAAATTTTATTTTATTTTATTTTATTTTATTTTATTTTTTATTTAACATAAGGATATGATTTAGCCTTTTATCAATTCAAATTTTATTTTGTATTTTGTATTTTGTATTTCTCAATAAAATTTTAGATCTTTAGTATGACCTGAGTGAACACTTAATATTAAGTCTAGCGGACTTGGTAGGTATAAAATCCAGATGTAAAATGAGCAAACAGGTGAATTAAAATGTTTAAGTTCAACTATTAGGCCAGAGAATAAGAGCTAGTACTCAAGCCTCTAGCCTGTTAGCATGTCCCAAGTTCAACACTCTGAATATGACCTTATTGTGGCCCAGGAAACTAAAGAGATGTCACCTGGGGCACCTGGGTGACTCAGTGGTTGAGCATCTGCCTTTGACTCAGGGCGTTATCCTGGGGTCCTGGGATCGAGTCCCGCCTCAGGCTCCCTGCAGGGAGCTTGCTTGCTTCTCCCTCTGCCTGTATCTCTGCCTCTCTGTGTGTGTCTCTCATGAATAAATAAATAAAATCTTAAAAAAATAAGAGAAGTCACCTGCTATGCTACTTCTTTTGTGAGCCATACTCACTGGAGCCCAACACTGCTCTAGTCTCTAGGAAATAAATAAAGGTAACCCCTAGTTCTTGCCTTGTAGCTTCATAAGTAGCCTACTAAATAAATATAATTGCCAATTTGATGCTCTTGGAAGTAGGCTCATGAACTTGGAAAAGGGTTCATGAACTTGCCACAGGTTACACATCCTACAAAGATTTAAGAGCCGGGCTCCCCATGGCAGCAGCATTCCCTCTGGGTTAGTTTCTTCCATCCACTCCCCTTCTCCCTTTCTCCTGAGCCAAGATTGTGTGGTGGTCCTGGTTCTACTAGCAGAACCCAAGAACAGCAGTGGAACAGGGTGTTCCTGCAGAAAGGTTGGCCTCCTCAGAAGACATCCTCCTAAGAAGCAGAAAAGGGTGGATGCCCCTGGGAGATGGGGAGGACTTGTGATAAGCCCATTCAGGTTATCGCTTGAGTCCACCCTTCAACAACCAGGGTAACATGTAAGGGGCTAGAGGCTCTACAACATGACAAATGCCAGAGTCAGCAATATGCCACGTGGACAACATTTCTATCCTTCCTGGGGTTACATAGATGTTATTTAATTCAATTGTCACACACAGTCCTCTTTTTTTTTTTTTTTTTTTTACAGATGAAAGAATAGCCTGAGAAAGATGAAACCACTCTTACCTGCTCCTGATTCAGCCTGACTCCCATCCCCATGTTCTCAATAACCACACAGGTCACCTCCCCTCGCCACGTCCCAGGACCTCCTGCCAAGCCTCACATGCTCTCCACTCAGCACACAGACACACGGCACACAGAGCTACACTGCAGTTATTTTATTACAGCCATCCTGCTAAAGATGAATTAGGCAAAGATAGGTGTCTGGATTCCAGCTTCAGGTATGAAGAAAGGAGCAGGAGGATGGAGCTCAGATCGGGCATTGGTGGCAAAGATTCATCTCCCCAAAGGGGCTATGTGGAAGGTCTCCTTCAATGAGTCCATTGCTTCATAGATGCATTTCTTGCTGGTGGTGATGGTAGTCTGGGAGAGAGGAAGATGAGGAGCGCATGGCAGAGCTGTCCATCCTCCCCGGGCCCCCCCCAGTCCTCATCCTCAGTGATTCAGCTCCAGCTCCAGCCAGGACCTCCGGCCCACAGACTGACTGCTGGAGAGGGAGCTGAAGTCAGAACAGGATAAAGGATGAAGATGACTCCCAGGTCACCCACACACAGGTGTCAGGAGGGAGTCTGAACAACCAGCCAGGAAAGCAGAGATCAGAAGATTCTGAAGGGTGTGATGGAGGCTGGGCCTGTGCGAGGAGCAAGGTGGCTGAGTCTGGGTCCACGTGATGTCTCCTGCACCTGAGACCCACCTGTCAGGTGTATGGCACATATGGAATGTGGATGTGTGTGTGTTGTAAACAATCTCATGTGCCTGTGGCACATTAATGCAAGAAATTCCACTTCTTCATAACCTCTCATCTTGCAGAATCAGCCCTTGTGGGAAAACAGAGTAAGAGACAGATTAACTAAAATCTACATAACTAGGGCGCCCTGGTGGCTCAGTTGGTTAAGCAGCTGCCTTTGGCTGGGATCATGATCCCAGGGTCCTGGCATAGAGCCCTACATCAGACCTCTGCTCAGCAGGGAGCCTGCTTCTCCCTCTCCTCTCCATTTGTACACACACACTCACTCTCAAATAAATAAATCAAATCTTTAAAAAATATATATACATAGGGCAGCCCGGGTGGCTCAGCGGCTTAGCGCCACCTTCAGCCCAGGGCGTGATCCTGGAGACCTGGGATCGAGTCCCACGTCGGGCTCCCTGCATGGAGCCTGCTTCTCCCTCTACCTATGTCTCTGCCTCTCTCTCCCTCTCTGTGCTTCTCATTAATAAATAAATACAATTAATATATATATACATAACTGTGCAACAAGAACAATAACAGAAAAAGAGAGTTCATCAGGAAATACACTGATCAGCCCTGGGGAGCAGATATGTGTAGCTAGAGGCTGCCTTAGGAGCTCCAGGCGCCAAAATAACGGAGTGCAACTTCTGGCTTTAAGCACTGAGATGATAGAGATGGGAAGTAAGACTCGGAGCCAGAGAACAGCCATCAAGGTGGGGGCTAAAACAGGCCAAAACCCAGAAGCCTTACGAGTCCAAGGAGACCCTTCCCGAGAAGGCGGTCTAAGGGCAGGTGATCAGTTTCAATATTCCTAAAATAGAACTGACACGACCCCTCCATGCGCAGGAGCTGAATTTAGGACTTTTTCTTTTCTCCCAAAGGTTAAAATTCTACTCCTGCAAGGCGGTCTCCCCTAAACTAGAAAAAAAAATTTGCAAGGGTCAACACACTTTCTATGTTGCACTGATGTCCATCCAGCTGTGTATAAATTGGCACAAAAGGGACATGTGTGGTAGAAGGATAGGTTGGATGTGCGTGTGGCAGGTGGCTGCGTATTATATATGCCGTAGGGTGGAGGAAAGGCTTATGTGCTTGATTGTCTGTAGCTCTTACTGTCGTGTAGCCCCTGACTGCTATGTCTATTCCATGTGCCATCTGTCAACAGGCTGCATGTGTGTCCTCAGGGTGGGGGTGGGGGAAGGATAGTAAGTTACCATGACAATCAAATCCAATATCTTGGCATCGAGTCCCTTCTCATTGTAGCAGTCCTGGATTTTTCCTATGGCTGCTTTTTCTGCTTCAGTAGCATTGGCTAGTCTAAGGGCCTTGTTCAGCGGAAACTCCTTTCCAATGGCCAAAGTGCCAAAGACCGAATAGAAAAGGGGGCAGGCTTTCGCTAGAGACAAACAGAAAACAACTTAAATCACCAGGGTAGGAGACTCCTGTTTCCCCACCACCTGAAAGTAATTCACGTATCCAGGCTCTTCTGACTCCCACAGAAACCCCCCCACTCCCAGGGCTGCTTACATCCCAGACAGAAAACATTTTCTATGAGCACTCTCAGCAGAAGGGAACGGAGAGGGGTCCCTGGCTGCTGCCTCCAGGCATAGCAGCCTGCCCGCTTCCGACCTTCAGCTAAGCCCCACCACCCCCAACAAACCATCCCCTACTGTGTGCACAACTAATGATCCCTCCACCTCCAAACCTCTTCCTCCATTCAGTCACTGAAAACCTCTCACCCATTTCGATGCCCAGGTCTTGGGTCACCAGCAAGGTCAGCACGAGGAGTGTCCCCTTCATAGTGTCAACTGCCAGAATGCTCCGCTCAGGGCAGGATTTCTGCTGTTTTATGAACTACTAGCTCCCTGAGCCCAGCCCACATCCCTCCTAGGAACTCCAAAGGCCTGTGGGCAGGGACCTGGCACATGTCGCTACCTCAGTCCTTGGGCTAAAAGCCTCTTGGAGAGGATATGGTTTTTCCTTTGCCAAAGACCAAGAGGAGCTGACATGTCTAAGTGTTTCCATCCTGAACCAACTGCTCTGTCATCCCAGCCCCAACTGTGACCCTTGTTTCCTGCTACTCCTTCCCCCAACCCATCCTGGCTCCAAATGCAGCACTCTCCCAGAATGTGCAGATGAAAATCACAGGAGGGTTCACAAGCCTAAGTTTAAGTCCTGGAGTTAAGTATGGGGTGCTGAGCCCAACTAGAGCCTCTTGAGCACCTTAACTCTGCAGTCTCTAGATCAAGCCCCAAGGATGGGTGGACACCATCCTTGGGCTCTGCAGCACTCCCTACTAGGGAAGTCTCAGAACTCCTGGCCAGGAGGGCTTCCTCCAGGGCTGACTCCAATTTAGGATCATGTTACCTGCTTCCCTCTCACCCTTAAAAGAGTCCTGGGCCTCTTCTTAACTCCCAGTGGGTCCAGCCTTGGCCCTGTCTTGCCCTCTTCCATCAGTGAACCTGGTCCCAAGAGGAGCTTGGGCTTAATAGCCCATCCAGAAATATCAGTGAGGAGTTGTGGAGCTCTACAGTTTGTCTCCCATGTCCACTGTGAGCTGGAGCTCTGTAGACCAGCGTGCTAGGTCAACCAGAGATGGCAGCCAGTCTGCTTAAACCCTCTTGAGTTAAACTCAACCTTCTTCTACTCTAGAAGAGTAGTTTACGGGCACAAAGAAGATGAGATAGTCCATGAAAATTCTAGAAGGAAGCTCCCAGTGGCCAAATCTGGAACAGTATAAGCAACAAAAGAAATAATATAGTATTGGAGGATAATCCAAAGTAAAAAGATTCTGTAAGTCCATACTGATATAAATAAATAATTTACTAAATAAACAGATGAAGAGAGAAGAGACATATTCCTCACAGGAACATTCCAAATAATGCACTCTCCCTTCAAGAGGTGGAGCTTATTGCCCTGCCCTCCTGGGGAGTGGCTGCACTTAGCAGCTCATTTCCAAAGAGTAGGGAAAGGGGAAAACCATGCAGAAACCTAGCAAACCCAACATTATTCAAATGATCAAGGCTAATATAACCAGTGGTAAGACCTATTGATGTCATGTATGCCACAATGTGATGTGACACCTCTTTAGTGTCTCCCCCCAAAACCAAGGTCTGAACCCTAATCTAATTTAGAAGAAAAACAGCAGGCAAAATCAGCTTGATGGACATTCTACAGTACCTGGCCAGCCTTCAAGACAATCAAGGCCACGACAAACACGGAAAGACTGACAACTTCAGAAGAAACCTCACAATCAATGCAGTGTGTTTACGATGTGAATTAGCTTCTAGAACACACGGAGGGCATTAAAGGACAAACGGTGGAATCCAAATAAAGATTGGAGTTGAGTTAGTAGTAGTGTGCCAGTGTCAATATCTTGGTTTTGACAAATCTTTTCAACTTTTCTGTGAGTCTAGAATTACCCCAAATAAAAAATATTTTTAAAAAGCCTCATTGCATACGCTGCAAGGCCTTGTCCAGAAGGTTCCCCTTGACCTCAGCAAATATCCCCACATTCGGAGATACCTCAGATAGTTTTATGGCACCCAGTGGGGCTGGATGGACATCAGCGTGCTGTGCTACTCCAGCCCTCCAAACTCTGGCTTCCTCCTCTCACATCATCTCACAGAGCTGAGGAGGACTTGAAGGAAGTCCCAGTGAAGGACAGCAGACATACAACCCTTGCCCGTCCCACACACTGAAATTCCGTTCCAGTAGAGAAAGAGCAAGTGTCCAATCTGGGGCATGTGGTGCTCATCTTCCCGGGCTGATAGGTGCCTCGGAACCTCTGAAGGACATCTGCCATAACCAGAGCCTCTCATGAGATGACCTTCATAGGTACGGCCTCTGGGCATCATGACTGGAGTCGCTCCCTGATAACCGCCTGACAGCTAGAGCTCAGGACTGGGTGCCTCTTAGCCAAGAGCAGTTACCGGATGTGAATCCTGTTTGGCATAGGGCTCCAACTGGGGTGATATGACTTTTATCTTACCTTCAGCTCTGGGTTTCAGCAAACCCTATCCTGGCACAGATGATTCAGAGAAAAGGCCAGACAGGGGCCTCCAGCGAGTAAGCGTAAGTAAAAATGTTCTTGGTTACCACCTCCTCAGGAATGGGATAGTCCTTTTGTTCATCTAACAAACCTTTGTGAAGCACCTGCTATGTGTCCTCATCCGGGGGAGGTGGCAGTGCACCCAGCGGAGCCCTTGCCCTCTGGGAGTTCAGTATGCATCTGAGAGGGAGTGGAAGACCACCAGTGAATGACAAGGAGAGCTATGGAGGGCCATGAAGTGGGGGAGAACTGTGAGTGCTGTGGGGGAAGGGGGGGCTCTGACCTAAGGGGTCAAGCAGGTGGGACAGTCTTTCTGATAAGGTGACATCTGAAGAGACCTGAGCAATTAGGTCATGAATCGTGTACTTGGAGGAAGAACATTCCAGGCAGCGGGGACAGCTCGTGCAAAGGCCCTGCTGCACACACACAACTGGAACACAAAGCCCTTGACCCCTGGCCCAGTCAAGAAGTGGAAAGGAGACCAGTGAGGGAGGAGAGAATGGGAAGAATTCGGAGGCAGCAGGCTTTTGGTAGGGCCCTGGCTGCACGAAGCACGAGGGCTTGTGGGCCACAGAAACGGCTTGGGCTTTCCTCAGACTCCATCTGTGGAGAGGGAATTGCGTGAACGGTACAGAGAAACTCAAAAGAAGACACTGGTTAGGGAAAAATGACCTTTCTGAGCCAGACTGATGTGCTGTCCAAGTGACCAGGTGCCAGGACTTGGTCAACAGATAAGTAGAACCTCTGGGCTAGCACACAGGGGAGGATTCAGGGCTCCAGAAACAGATTCAAAGGACTGGTTCAAGGGAGGCCACTTGAGCAGGTCAAGGACAGAGATTTTGATACAGGCATGGCAGGGGCCACCAGGGAGTGGCTTTCCTTTGGCATCTACTAGCTGTGACATGAGCCAAGCATTGGGTGTCCTGAAAAATCCCTACGTTGAGACCAAACACCATCCTCCAGGTCATGGGTCAGGAGAGGCTGACACTGGCCCTGATTTGGGAGACTCTCCGCCCCCTTTCCCCGTCAAGCCAGGAAATTTCAGTTCTGAAGCTTCTGGACAGAGCCCTGGAGGTGGGGAAGGCCAAGTTAGTGCCTCCTGTTGACTGGGGGCCTCAGGGCCTCGTGGGCACACGCAGCTCCGCCCTCCCCCGAGCCTGGCAGGTGTCCTGGAAAGGCCGCGCCCCTCCCGCCCCGGGCGGCAGCTATAAGGCGTCGCGGCTCCCAGCACCTGCCACCTGCACCATGAAGCGGGTCGGGGCGCTGCTGCTTCTCGGGGCTGCCCTGCTCCTGGCCTCGGGCGGAGGTGGGCGGCGGCCGGGCCCTGGGCTTCTGGCCGTCCTGTCGTCCTGTCGGGCAGTTGGGAGTAGGCGGGGAAGGGGAAGGGCAGATCGGCCACGAGGGTCCTTGTGGGAGCGGCAGCCTCTCGCTCTGTTCCAGACTGTAAAATCTGCTCAGCCGTGCGGGACGATGTGAACCTGTTCCTGACGGGCTCCACTGAGGACTACGTGGACAACGTGGCGCGGTACCAGAGCAGCCCTGTGATACTGGAAAATGCGAAACTGCTGAAGGAGTGCCTTGATGGGAAAATGACAGAAGACGACAAGCAGAATGCCCTTTCGGTGCTGGTGGGTTGGCTGTGTCCGCGCCTCTGGCGCCTGTCTGGGCCTCCCTGGGGCCGGGGGTGGGGGGGTGGGGGACATCTCTCTTCTCCACCGCAGCCCTCCCCGGGAATTCAAGAGGAGAAAGACCTCATGGATGGGCAAGTAGGGGGGATGGGGTGGGGAAGACTCAGCCCAGCCCTTGAGCCCTCGGGCTGGCCCTGGCCCTCCTGCGTCCTTGGCCTCACCTGGCCTCGCTCTCAGGCCCTCAGCTCCGGCCTCCCTGACTCCAGCCTCTGCAGCACATGAGCCTGGATCTTCTTGGGTTCCCTTACCTTAACTTCCCTATTCCATCCCCCCCAAGACCCCCATTTGTCTTCGTGCCCTCAGTCCTGGAGAGCCATTCTGTGCCTCACATGCCAGGAGGGGGGGAGGGCGGAGGGGGGCAGAGGGGAGGGGAGAAGGCAGCTTCCAAAAGCCCCCCTCTGGCCCTTCCCAGGCCTGCAATGCCCCGAGTGGAAAAGCACGGTGCCCCCTCCCTGTCCTGTCCCACGAGTGGGAACAAGCTACTGCTTCGGCAGCAAGCGTCCACGGGGCAGCCCGAGACTCCCAGGCGCCCGCAGGTGCAACGGAGCCCGCCAGGACCTTCTCAGCACCTCTCTATCCCGCCCCAGGACGCCCCCACCCCACCACGGTGACCCCCCTTCTTCACTCTGCTCCACTGGACGAAGCTTCTAGGCCCACCCTGGGACTCTCTCGTGGTGCGGGAGATTGGGAGGAATGTACCTTTGCCTGCTCAGATCCAGAAGCGCCCCTGCAAACAGGCCTGCAGGCCCCTCCCCACGGCGTGTCCGGCCAGCACGGCAGAGCCGCATGTGTCACACCCGCAGGCCTCACCAGGTGTCCCGACCTTCTCTTTGCAGGATAAAATATACGCAAGTAACTTGTGTTGACGGAGCCATGTGTGCCGCGGGGGGCCCCCAAGGAAGTCACTTAACTGATCACCGGCTAAGTCATCTCAGCAGCCTGCCACATCCGGTGTCTGACTAGATGATTCCAGCAATAAAAGCCTTGCAATCCAGGGACAGCTGCTTGCTCCTTGGGCTGGTCTTGGGCCGGACGGAGGGGGTCCCAGTGCGGCTGGGTGTCCACACGGTCCCACGTTCTTCCCACACTGACTCCCCCGGGGAGGGGTGATGACCTTTAGGACAGCCAGAGCAGCGGGGGCCCCTCGGTCATGGGCAGTACCCACCAGGTGTTGAGTAACATCTGGGAGCTCACAAGCGAGGGCCCTGGGGCTCAGAGAGGTCACTACCTGCCAGAGGTGACCCTGCTTGCAGGCGACAGAACCTGCTGGTCCCACACCCCTACTGCCCACCCCCTGCGGGACTCAGGCTCGCTGGGATTCAGGTTCAGCCAATGCCCCGCAAGCCTGGGCATAGAACAGCCTTCCTCTGGGCCTCTGATTCCCACCTATGAAACAGAAAGGCGTCCTCTGTCCAGGGCCTCTTTGGGGGGGCGGGGGGCAAATCATGGGAGGCGGCCCCGGTCCTAAGCACCCGACCCGAGAGAGAAAACCAAGGGTCCAAGTGCAAGTGCTGAACCTGGTGGCCTCGCGCGCAGATCGGCCCCTGGATTTAGCCGCCTCGCCCTCTACCGCTCAGGGGGGCGGCGGGGTCCTGGAGCCGCAGGACCCCCCCGGGCTCGGCTCCACGCCATGGTTCTGGAGCCTTCGCGGGCCCTGTGCCCCGCCGTGTCCCCTGGCCCTGACCCCGGCGTCCTCTCCTGCGGCCCCACCGCCCGGCGCTCCCCCAAAGTGTCCGCTGAGCTCACACCGCAGGCCGCCCCCCAGGAGGGGTAGCTCTGCGGCCCTCGGGGTGAGGCCCCCACGGGGCGCCCCCGCTCTGGAGCACACCCTGGGGGACGCAGAGGAAGGCCACCCTGCCCACTGTGAGCGCGGGGCCCACCCTCTGCCCCCCGGGGTGGCTGGGGGCTGCTCCCGAGGTGGGAAACTGCCCCGTGATGGCAAGTGGCGGCCGTGGGACGTGAGCAGGCGGGGGCAGAGACCCCTCTCGTGGCCTGGCACATGTGACCCCGGGGCTCCGCACCCCCTCTGCATACTGAAAGGAGAGCCGGCCCCGCGGGGATGAGGGGGGTGGGGGTGTCTCCCAGTGTCGCCCCGGCCCGCAGCAAGTGCAGGGAGCCAGGGGTGCCCCGGCCGGGGTGAGGAGTCGGGGATGGGCATCTCGCTGTCACGGAGCCAACCAGTGTCCCCACTGCTGCTCAGCTCCCGGGGGCTCCCGGCACCCTCCCCTCACTGCCTTCCCCCGCCTCTCTGCCTCTCTCTCTCTCTCATTCTCATGAATAAGTAAATAAAATCTTTTAAAAAATAAAAAAAATAATTATGAGTAAGAACTTACTAATGCCATTTTATTTTTTAAAATTAATTTATTTTAGAGCACATGAGTGTGCAGGTGGGGGGAAGGGCAGAGGGAGGCAGACTCCCCGCTGTGTGTGGAGCCCGATGCGCGGGGCTCCAGCTCAGGACCCAGGAGACCACGGCTTCTGCTGAAACCGAGTCAGACGCTTAACCGCCTGAGCCAGGCACCCCCTTATTAGTTGCTCTTGTCTATTTTGTAGTTCTTCATTCCCTTCTTCTTCCTCTTTTGCTGTCTTCCTATGTGAACTGATTTTCCACAGTGGTGTGCTTTGATCCTTTCTCTTTTTCATTTGTGTAATTTCTGTAGGTTTTTGATTTGTGGTTCCCATGAGGCTTAGGTAAAACTTCTTAATGACAAGTCTATTTTAAACTGATAACAACTTAATTTTGATCATGCATGAAACTCTATCCTTTTATTCCCCTCCATTTTTTAAATTTATTTATTTATTTATTTATTTATTTATTTATTTATTTATGATAGTCACACAGAGAGAGAGAGAGAGAGAGAGGCAGAGACACAGGCAGAGGGAGAAGCAGGCTCCATGCACCGGGAGCCCGACGTGGGATTCGATCCCGGGTCTCCAGGATTGCGCCCTGGGCCAAAGGCAGGCGCCAAACCGCTGCGCCACCCAGGGATCCCTATTCCCCTCCATTTTTTTTAAAAAAGATTTTATTTATTTATTCATAGACACAGAGAGAAAGAGGCAGAGACACAGGCAGAGGGAGAAGCAGGCTCCATGCAGGGAGCCTGACGTGGGACTTGATCCCGGGACTCCAGGATTACACCTTGGGCCCAAGGCAGCACTAAACTGTTGAGCCACCCAGGCTGCCCTTCTTCATTCCTTCTACCCGTAACCACATACAAACCAACCACATCTGGATTTTTTCCAAACAATTTTTTTATCCTCAATCTTTCTTAACCCTATGGAACAAAAAGTTGCCACTGAGGAGGGCCCAGTATAGGGGCTGTTTTCGACTCCCTCTCCCTCAATATCAAAGTATATTTTATTATTATTTTTAGAGATTTTATTTATTCATTCATGAGAGACACACAGAGAGAGGCAGAGACACAGGCAGAGGGAGAAGCAGGCTCAAGCAGGGAGCCCGACGTGGGACTGGAAGCTGGGGCTCCAGGAACATGCCCTGAGCTGAAGGCAGATGCTCAACCGCTGAGCCACCCAGGCATCCCTCAACGTGATATTTAAAGTCCCATCCAGAGCAATCAGGCAAGAAAAAGAAATAATAGGCATCCAAACAAGAAAGAAGTAAAACTGCTATTTGCGGATGACATATTAATAGAGAACCTTATACATCCCACCAAAACAGAACTAACCAACAAGTTCAGTAAAGTAGCAGGATACAAAAGAAATGTACAAAATGTGTTGTGTTTCTACATACTAATAAACTATCAGAAAGAGAAATTAAGAAATCCACTCATAACTGTATCAAAAGGAGTAAGATACCTAGGAATAAATTTAACCAACGTAACAAAAGACCTGCCCACTGATGTAAAAGAAATAGAAGAGGGATCCCTGGGTGGCACAGCGGTTTGGCGCCTGCCTTTGGCCCAGGGCGCGATCCTGGAGACCCGGGATCGAATCCCACATCGGGCTCCCGGTGCATGGAGCCTGCTTCTCCCTCTGCCTGTGTCTCTGCCTCTCTCTCTCTCTCTCTCTCTCTCTCTGTGTGACTATCATAAATAAATAAAAATTAAAAAAAAGAAATAGAAGAAAACAGGGGCTCCTGGGTGGCTTAGTGGTTGAGTATCTGCCTTCAGCTCAGGGTGTGACCCCGGGGTCCTGGGATCGAGTCCCGCATCGGGCTCCCTGCATGGAGCCTGCTTCTCCCTCTGCCTGTGTCTCAGCCTCTCTCTCTCTCTGTGTCTCTCATGAATAAATAAATAAAACCTTAAAAAAAAGAAATTGAAGAAAACACAAATAAATGGAAAGACACCCATGCTCGTGGTTCAGAAGAATATTGTTAATATGTCCATACCACCCAAAGCCGTCTATAAATTTACTCCCGGTCTGGTGGCAGCAGCCTGCACTCGGGCTACTGAGGCAACAGGGGTCACGGTGGAGGTTGGCTTGGCCACACACTTTGAGGAGCTGCTGCACCTCAGAGCCAAGTCCCTCCTTGTGCTTTATTTTTAGGCACCATAGACCCCAGAGTGTACCCAGATGAGCAACTTAATGGCAGAGTGAGCCAAAGAACACCCCCAAGTGTCGTCTATAAAGCTGGAACCTAAAGCTGTTCCTGACATATCTAAAAGGTATGAAATGAGTTCCCACTTTTCTGTTTTTCAAGAATTCTCAGAAAACTGACCGATTAGATGATGCACACACGCTAGAGTTGATCCAAAAAGTTCAGGGACATGCCTCTAGGTGGTTCCTTTCCACCTAGCGGTAGGAAGCGTCCTAAAGATGTCAACCAAGCCTGAAGAAATTCACCCAGGCTGCTCCCTGCAGGTTGTTCACGACAGGAACTCTTCAGGAACCATGTGGCGGGTTCAGCAAGCAGATGGCAGACATTCTTAACGAACACAATTTTTGGTTTAGCAGGTTTGATATCCTCTCAGGTGAAGAAGTTCATCAGGTCCTCAAAACTTACTCCAATTGGCCCATCTATTCCCAGCTCTGTTTCTGGAGAGCTCAGAGGAGGGCTTGACTGAATTAAGGATCCAGAAACCTCTGAAAAACTAGACACAATTTGCCTCCACGCTCCCAAATTGGAGGAAAGATCCAAAGTACTGACAAATAAAGCTTCTGTAATGAAATGTAGTGAAAAACAACAGAAAGCAAAATGTCCATTCAGCTAACAAATTCCAGAAATACTAAATAGTACCAGTGTTGACTATGAGACATTTGATATATTAGAGAATAAGAATTTCGATAACAATTAAAAACTCACTCAAATCGGCCAACATACCCTCAGCTGTACGTGGAAGGGGAGCTTGTTGGATGAGTGCGTATCATTAAGAAACTGAAAGAAAATTACAGTTCATGACTTAGTGGATCAGTGGTAGAAAAATGCTTCTTACCCAGTTACAGTTTGCGTAGTTTCCAAAAGTTGCGCTAAATAAATGTATGTTATTTTTTTTCTCCAAAACCAGAATACGACAAACATCTCCAAATTCAATGTAGTTAGTAATGAAATCCTAATCCCTATCAAAATTCCAATGGCATGTTTCACAAAAATAGATAAAGCAATCCAAAAATTCATACGGAAGCACAAGAGATTGAATAGCCAAGGCAATCCTGAGAAAGAACAAGGCTGGAGGAACCACACTTCCTGATTTCAAACTATACTACAAAGCTGTAGGGATCAACACAGCATGGCACTGGCAGAGAGACAGACACCTAGATCAATGGAACGGAATCCAAGGCCCAGAAGGAAACCCGTGCGTGTACAGTCATTACTAATATTTGACAAAGGAGCCACAAACACTCAATGGGGAAAAGATAGGCTCTTCAATAAATAGTCTTGGGAAAACTGGATATTTATATGCAAAACAATGAAATCGGGTGCCTGTCTTCTACCACTCACAAAAATTAACTCAAAATGGATTAAAGACTTGGGGGATCCCTGGGTGGCGCAGCGGTTTGGCGCCTGCCTTTGGCCCAGGGCGCAATCCTGGAGACCCGG